CTCCCACGTTCTCACTAACTTAGGAGTGTGGCCTGTTGGTTCCCCGGCACTCCACGCTTCCCAAGAGTAGTTAGTTCCCAGCCGGCTCCCGAGCGCGATGGAAAGGGATGTGCGCAGCCGGCGGCGGGGCCCTGTCCAGGGTGCTGACGCAGCGCCAGGGCTCCGGGCCGGTCGGCCTCGCAGCGCCCTTTCAGCCACCCCCACGCTCCGGAGGAGACAAAGAACTCAGAGCCCCAGGCCTCCGAGCGGTCAGTACGCAGCAAGGGGGAACAGCGAAACAAAGCAAGCAATTGTTAATCCTGCCGGTAGGCGACCCTCCGACCCCAACCTCGGACTTCAGCCCTCTTGGCTGGTTTACCTCTTCTACTTTAACCTTGCCTTTCTCAAAGGGAAACATGCCAGCACAAGGATCCCGGGCATAGGAAATCCAAACGTGCATCTTGGGGGGTGCGAGGTAAGGGGTGGGGTGGAGTTTGGGGTTCAAGTTGGGGCATACTTTGGAGGGATGGGAATTTTGTTCCCATCAATGAGGAAATACTCAAGGAGCTATTGGGGGTTCAAACGGATCCCCCAGGTAACGTGTTCTTCATTTCCACGCCCTTTTCTTGGTAAAATACGTATCTTTTATTTATTTTTTTTTAATAGAAAAAGGCACTGCGTGCATCAAAAAGGCTCTGCGAGCATCCCTTTACAGAGAGGAGCTGGCGGGACCGCGGTGGCTTCCTCCGGTGGCCCGCAGAGGGCGTGCGTAGCCGACAAAGCACTAGCCGGTCTGACTACCCAGGGGAAGGTGCGCCCAAAAGGTGGGCATCCGGCAGGGGTCGAAGGAGCTGGGCTGGTTCCCCGCAGTGTGTCGGCCGGTCTAGCTGGAAGATAAAGGACGGCCCTGGACTTGGAGTAGCTTTGCGGATACTGCACAACAGTGCTATTGTTGGCATCGTGCGCTGTCAGCCCCAGGTGTCAGATGACTGGCCGGGCGCTTTCAGGGGCTATAGGGATGCATCACTGAGGGGACAGATCCACACGTACCAGCCACCACGCCTCAACACCCAGAAAGAAGTCTCCCTCACCCAGACCAAACTAGCAGTTCGGATCTTAACCAGATGCCGAACCCTCCTCCTCAATGAAGCTTGCGCTCCCAAGTGGGGACTAAAAGGAGGGCGCTGTCCCACGCTCCACAGGGAACAGACACAAGCTGTGTCCCCGCAGAGCTTCCTGGCCATTTACCCCCAGGGTGAGCTCTCTTGGTTTCTCTCTCGCTGACCGGCAGCGGGAACCCCGCAGACTCTCCGGACTTGGGCCCCATCAAGCCTGGGATGCCCTCATCTCCCCCGACAAACAGGCCAGCAGCGGTCCCCGCGGTCCACCTTCCTCTATACCCCCGCCTCCGCGAGCTCCGAGGGGGAAGCGGCCGGCCGCGCCCGCAGCTCCTTTGTTCCCTCCGCAGCCGGCTGGGAGCAGCTGTCAGGCCGGAGACCCGGGCGCTGGGGAATCGGTCCACTTGTCGTCTTCCCCTCCCACCCCTCGGCCCCCCGATATCCTTCCACCTCCCGCATCTCCCTTAGGCTTGGCCCCTTTCCAGACCCCAGAGCCTGAGGGGGATTCGGAGAGTGAAAGTTTTCAGGGTCCGGCGCCGCACCCTGGTGCCCGGCCCCCGAGGTGTAAGGAGGTGATGGGGGCAGTTGAAATGTCACCTGCCAGGATAAATATTAACAAAAGGCAAATGGACTTGCGCGGGGGCCGGTTATCAATCAACCAGCCTGCAAGGCCACGCATGGCAAACACAGCCCAGGTTGAGCGGCCCGAGACTTTCCCAGGGCGGCCTCTGGCCCACCACTGCTCCGGGCTGGGCCCTTCCGGGGGCAGATCTGGGGCACATTCTGGCCAGCCGAGGGAGGGAGGTGAGCCCGCTGCCCAGGCCGCTCTGGGACGCGGCCATCTCTCAGTTGGATAGAGTAAGAGTGGCCCCACTTCACACACCCGCGCCTCCCTTGTCTGCCCGCCCTGGCATCCCGGGTCCGCTGAGTGGGTGGGTGGGCTTCGCGGGTGGCTCGCGTGTAGTGCCTTCCGGATTCTTTCATTGGAAATGAGTCCCCTGGCGTCTGGATAGGTGCCCACGTCAGAGGAAGGACACGCACTCGGAGGCGCCCCCCCCCCTCCGCGAGCAAGAGGAGGTCGCTGCGTCTCTTGGGGCAGCTCTGAGGAAACAGATATTGATTTTTTTTTTAAGGTAGATAATTCGGTGAGAATTTTTTCCTGTCGCTGGGCTCTCACTAACTCACGTAATCTCGAGACCGGATGGCGCCTACCCAAACAAGCCGCCACGTGTGGAGGAGGGGAAGTTTTGATTCCCCCCCCCCACGCCATCACAAACTGCGGGGGTGGGGGAGAGGGGCTGGGGAACCACCTATTTTTGTCTGGAAGGAGCTGACCTCCATGGGTCGGGGCCACCCCCGTCCTGGGGACGGAGGTGGGCTTTTTAGGGTGAGACCAAGGGGCTGAGGCGAGGAGCGTGCCTCCGCTTGGGGTGGTGGCTGGACCAGGTCGCGCCAAGGGGCCCTGCGGGCAATTTTTAAGACACCTGCACTTAGGGCTTCCTAGAAATGATTTGGAAAGTTTAAAAAAAAAACGACTCCCACTTTCAAAAAGTGAAAACAGTATCACTGATCGTCCTGACTTAAAGATAGACATGTTCGCTGTGTGAAGAGCCTGCTGTCCTGCCCGCAGGGCGCCTGCAGTTGCACTCCTCCCCATCCCATTAATGGGAGAAAGGAAAAACTCCCGAGGTTGGGCGTCTGGCACGTGTTTTGCTAGAATTCTTGATTTCACACCTTTTGTTGAAAATATTATGCACCTGACTGGGGGCTGGGCACAGCTGGCGACAAATGGCTTGGTGGGCTGCTCTGCCCTCAGGCAGGTGACCACTGGACTTCTGGGGTCCCCTAGGCTGTTGTCCTGGCACCGCCCCCCCACCCCCACCTGTGCCTACCTACCTCCTGGCTCGCCGGACCCAGTACAGCGGTGCCGCCACCTGATCTCCGCGTTCCATGCGTCCAGGTCTGAGGTCCCTCGCGTGAGACAGTGTGATAGACCAGGTGTGAGGGCTGGCTCTGAATGGAACCTGTCAGTCTGCGCTTCCAGGAGGCCATTTGAGATGATGGGGGTAGCTCCGCCATCGAAGTAGCGTGGAGCAAGGGCTTTCTCTGCGTCCAGGCCACGGGAGTGGCTTCCTTGGGGACATCGCTCTCCATTCCCACCCTCTTCTCCCACTCCCAGCTGGGCCGCAGCACCCGCCGCGGCCTCCGCAGAGTCCAGGAAGCCTGAGCAAGCGCCCGTGAGAAAAGACCCTGGCGCCCGAGGGGCGGGCCGGCGCGGGGCAGCGCCTTCTCTCACCGGCTCTGGCTCTGTGGGCTTGGCTCAATCCAAGTCTTTCCATTGCTCCCAATGGGAAAGCCAAGAGCCTAGAATTCCCGAGGGCACCCGTGAGCTTCCCCTCCCTCGGCGGTGCCACCTCTCCCACTTGACTCTTTCCTGGGCATGGCACCAGGAGCCAGAGCAGCCGCTGGGTTTGGCGCGAAAGAGCCTGGCGGGGCCCGAGGCTTCAGGCTCCATGGGAGGCCTGGAGCGTCGAGAACCCAGGCCAGCTTGGAGACGCCGCCTGGCCAAGCCGCAGGCTTGGGGACACCTGCCACCCCCTAGCATCTCATCGGCAGCAAGAGGTGGGGGAGGGGGCTCTGGCGTCTCCCTTTGATTTTAGACTGTGAAACGGCTCAGTGCCCCCGGCTCCGAGCAAGCGGATTGACTGTCTTTCGTTCTCCAGGGACGAATTAATGGAGAACGATCAGTTAATTAACAAACCCTGATTCCGGCTTTTACCTTTCATTTTAGCCTGGGCACAGGCCTGGGCGCAGGGCGCGGGGTGGGGGTGCGTCGAAGGGGAATGAGAGCCAGGACTCAGGAGTCAATCAACTTGGCGACCTCGTTCCGCTCTCACCAAACCTAGTCGACCCTCAGCTGCCCTCGCCTCAGTTACCACCCCCCACCCCATGCCCGCCTCTCCCCTCCCCTCCAGGCAAATCAGCAGGAATTTTCAGCTGCCTTTCCAGCAGGACTCAGCAGTCCCTTCCTTCCATCGGCCTGCGACTCCCGCCCCCGCCCCCCTCAACCCCGCATCTCAACCTACAGAGTTGGACACTGAGCTGACCAGGGGCTCTGTCTGCACCTTAGCTGTCTCAGAACCCCCCGGGTTTCAGGCCGGGGAAACCTTGACTCCCAGGGGTCATTCCCACACTCTCACAGCTGCAGGGAGAGTCCAGGGAAATTTCACCGGGAAGGACACCAACGTCTTAAATGAGTGGGCTCTGAAGCCGGTCCCCGAATTCTGCTAGCCAGGGACCTTATTCCTGGGGTGATGGCAGTGGTCACCACGCCCTCCAGCCCCTGTCAGCCTCCCCATCCTTTCCATACCCAGTTTCCACGCGCCCAGAGTGCGTGCCAACCCGAACACCAACCGTGTCGCGCCACGCATAGAGGCTCTGCCAGGGACTTTGCTGGAGTTTTCCCGATGCCAATTAACAGCGTAAGCTCGGCAGGGTCACCGCAGCGAGTTCAGCCAAACCCAGGTTGGCAGCTTTCGCCTCTGGCTCGCTCCATCCAGAGCCAGGCATGTGCTAGTGGCCCGGAGAGATCGTCAGACGACGTCTCTAGGTGTCTTACCATTCTAGTTTCCAGCTAGGGCCCCAGAAAAAATGCACCCCAGGCCTCTCGGACTCAACTCTCCCTGCCTCGCACAGACTAGCACATTTGAGTCCCCAATGAGGAAGTCTGTCGTCCCCACCCCCGCCCCCAACTTCCCGAACGCAAACGCACGTGCAAGCTCTCCCGGGCCTAGGGACCCCCATCTCGGGTACAGCGGGTAGCTGGATGAAATCCGTTCTCCTTCCCTCCCTTTGGCTTCCGGGCCTCGTCTCCCCCGGTGCCCAGCTCCTTGCTTGGCTCACCTGCTAAGCGGAGCGCGGACATGCGCTGGAACTCTGGCTCCTGCAGCCACTTCCACATCCTCCGGAAGGTCTCCCGGCCGGACTTGAGTTTGCTCCAGGGTTTGGGGTTGCGCAGCAAGTCCGAGAGAGTCCCCTGGGAGCGGCAGAGCACCCTCTGCGCGAAGATGGCCTGGGGGATGCTGTAGCGCTTGAGCTCCGTAGTGATACGCTGCGCCACCTCTTTGGTATTGATCTCTTCCATCTGCCCTGAATTACTTCCTGTGCTGACCTGCGCGCCGGTCACTGAAGGGTTGGGCTCCCGAGTCGTGCCCAGGAGCTGGCCGTGGCCCTGGGCGTTCAGGTGGGCGTGGGGGTGGTGTGGGGGAAGGCCGTTGATGGGCACCATGCCAGCTGAGGTGGGCGTGAGGTGCTGCTCTCCGTGGCGGCCGAGCATGGCCGGGTGGTGGGCTTCAAAACCGTTGGGGGTGAGCATCTTGTCAGTGGGCATGGCGGCGCCCGGGTGGGCATAGTGGGGGAGCCCTTGCTGAGTGTTATGGATGCCACCCAGACCGGAGCCAGAGAGGGGCGAGAGGCTTTGGCCCATGCCGGCCACGTCCTTGTGGTAGGGGGTGTACAGGTTATTCATGGAGGCCAACCCGCGCTCGTCCCGCATGAGCGTGAAGCTACCGCTCACGTTGCCCGCCAGGCGTTGGTGGTGGTGCGGATGGTGGTGGTGGTGGTGGTGGTGGTGATGGTGGGGGAACTTGTCCGAGACGGT